GGCTGAGCTCAGTGCAGCCTATCGATAGCTGAAGGGAACCTACAGCCAGGAGGGGAGGCAACTCTTGCAAAGGGCTGACAGCAGCAGGACGAGGGGAAATGGATCCAAGCTGAGGGAGGGAAGATTTCAGTTGGATGTGAGGGGGAAGCTCTTCCCAAGGAGAGCGGTTAGGGCCTGGAACGGGCTGCCCAGGGAGGTTGTGGATGCCCCGTCCTTGGCCGTGTTCAAGGCCAGCTTGGACGGGGTCCTGGGCAACCTGATGTGACTGTGTGTGTTTGGTGGCCCTGCTGGGCAGGGGGTTGGAACTGCGTGATCCTTGAGCTCCCTTCAACCCGGCTGATTCTGTGATCTGTGATTCTGTGATTCTGTGATCAGGGCACTGTGTGTCTATAGGGCGCTATGGGGCACTGTGTGTCTCTATAGGGCGCTATGGGGCACTGAGTGTCTCTGTAGGGCACTATGGGTCACTGTGTGTCTCTATAGGGCACTATGGGGCACTGTGTGTCTCTATAGGACACTTTAGGGCACTGTGTGTCTCTATAGGGTACTATGGGGCACTGTGTGTCTATAGGCCGTTGTGGGGCACTGTGTGTCTCTATAGGGCACTATGGGGCACTGTGTGTCTCTGTAGGGCACTATGGGTCCCAACGTGTCTCTATGGCTCTCAATGTGCCTCTATGGGTCCCAAAGGGCCTCAATGTGTCTCTATGGCTCTCAATGTGCCTCTATGGGTCCCAAAGGGCCTCAATGTGTCTCTATGGTCCTCAGTGAGTCTCTATGTATCTCAACGTGTTTCTATGGGCCCCAACAGGTCTCTATGGGTCTCAATGTGTCTCTATGGATCCCAATGTGTCTCCATGGGTCTCAATGTGTCTCTATGGACCCCAACGTTTCTCTATGGGTCTCAGTGTGTCTCCATGGGTCCCAATGTGTCTCTATGGGTCCCAATGTGTCTCTATGGCTCTCAACGTGACTCTATGGGTCCCAACGTGTCTCTATGGGTCCCAACGTGTCTCCAATGGGTCCCAATGTGTCTCTCTGGGTCCCAATGTGTCTCTGTGGGTCCCAGCAGGAGCTCCTGACCTGCACATCAGGGGTAGAAGGAGCTCCGCGCCGTTTGGCCTCGCCGAGGGATTCGCAAGACCCAGCGCACAGCGTCTGAAGCAGAACCCTGAGCCCAAACTGCAAGAGGTTGCAAAGGCGACAGCGGGCACGGCTTGTGGTCAGCCCAAAAGGCCAAGAACTCAGCATGGGGCAGAAGAGACGCCTGGGCACCAAGGGAAGCGTGGTGCGACGCTCTGATGCCCTCTCAGCGTTCTTTCTCCCTGCCCCGGCATCCAAAGAGGCGGCGTCAAAAGGCGCAAGGACTCCGTCACAGCCATCGTGGGGATGTTTCAAGGTAGGCCCCCGGTAAGGCTTTATTGATGGTTCTGCCCCTCTCCATTGCACTCGACATCTCCTCGCTTGGCCTGGAGAAGGGAAGGCTGCGCGGTGCCCTCGTGGCAGCCTTCCGTACGTCAAGGGAGCCTACGAATAGGAGGGGAGTCGGCTGTGATGGTGCGGCCGACGTCAGGCCAAGCGGACGTGGTGTGCAGTTGAAGATGGGATGTCAGGTTGGGTTGTTGTTTGCAGAGAGAGCGGGGAGATGCTCTCTGGGAACCGGATGCCCGCAGAGGTTGTTGGACGCCCCGTCCCTGGAGGTGTTGGAGGCCAGGTTGGACGGGGCCCTGGGCAGCCTGCTGTCGTATGAGATGCCGCGCAGGTGGGATTGCAGCGTCCGTTTGGCAGCCTCCAGTCGACGTCTGTCTGTCTGGGCAGCCCATGCCCGCATCAGCACGGCTGGGCCGAGCCCTTCCTGCAGGTGTTGGGAGGCCGACGCTTGGCACTCAGCTCTGCAGGAAGATCTTCTGGCAGCTGGCGTCTGCCCCAAGGCGGCCCGATGCGGCGAGGCCTCGGCCGTGTGCACGTTGGGCAGCACGCCGTGCCCAGGGCCTTTTTCTGCCCCCTGTTCTTCCTGCAGGGCGGGCTTTGGTCTCGGCAGGCCAACGGCTTGGGAGACCGCGTTTCTTCTTGCCTGGGTGGCAGCGATGCGGCTGTGCTGGGGGCAGACTGCTCAGGCAGGCTGGCCTCAGCACGAGGTCTCGCTGCCGCCGTCCTGCTGAGGTTCTTGCTGCGCAGCCCTCTTCTGAGCCCTCATCCTCATGACTTGGATGGAGTCGCGTGCCACCAGTGGGAACCTGGGATGTCTGCCTGGAGGCTGCGAGGACAGGCTGGACTCAGCTCTGGACGAAGATCTTGGGAACGCTGGCGTCTGCCCAAAGGTGACCCGACGGGGTGAGGCCTCGGCTGCCTGCAATGTGGGCAGCACGCCGTGCCCACGGACGTTTTCTGCCCCCACTTGTGCCTCAGAGAAGCTCACGTGTTTCGCCTGCGGTGCCGGGCCCAGCTCTCGTTGGCTTGGAGCTTCTGCGTCCCCCTGCAGCTGGCAGGGCAGCGGCTGCTTTGGGGCCTCAGGCACCTGGCGGATGGCTGGCAGCAGTCTGCAAGGACAGAGCAGGAGGGGTCCGCGTGAGGGGCCGGTGGCTTCGGGGCTGCAAGCCTGAGCCGGGAGCCTGGGCTGCGTCGCGGTCGGTTCGGGTGAAGGGGAAATGGTTGCAAAGGGCACGAGGTTGGGACGTAAGGAAGGAGCCTGTGGACAGCAGGGTGGCGAGGCAGCGGAGCATCTCGCCCGGAGAGCCGGTGGCTGCCTGGACGGGCATTGGAGGTGGGGCTGGAGCAGGGCTGTGCCCAAACTCCCTGCCCGCAGCCTGCTCACCGGCTGCCCCTGAGACGCGCAGAGCGGCAGCCCTGTGAGCTGGGGGTCCCCGTGGCAGCGCTGTTGGGCGGCCACAAACAGGGACCCTTTGGGATTAGGGAATGGGCTTCGGTCGGGTCGCCCCCGTGCGCACGGCAGCCCGCAGCCTCACCTGGACGTCGAGCTCCTCTGGAGCAGCAAGCTCCTGATCCTTCTGAAGTGTCCTCCGTCAATGCTGGAAGTGCTCAAGCGTTTGATGATGGTGGGACGGCCAGCAAACCTCACTGCAGCGGGGAAGGCAGAGGAGATTCAGCGTCAGCCCTTTGGCTCGCTCCCCAGGGGCGCTCAGGCCCCTTCCCACAGCAGCCCAGAGGGCCGCTCCGCTCCCCCCGCTGCTCCCATCCGCGCCGCCCTCCCTGACGGCAGCCCTGGCCCCGCTCCTCCTCTCTGCAGCTCAGCTCTGTGCTGGGAGCGCATTCGTGGCGTCGGCTTTGGGAAAGAGGAGCTGGGTGGCGACGGTGAGGCGGCGGGGGGATTTTGGGGGGACCGCGTCCTTCCTTCCGTCGGGGGAGGGCAGGGCCTAAGATCCGCACGTCCTCCTGCCATCGCCAGGGATGGGGGCACGTCACAGCCGGCGCCTTGGCTTTGGGCAGGCCAGCAGTTCCTCATGGGAAGGGGCCGTGCTGAGCTGGCGTGAAGCTTTGACGCCAGTCGGAGCCCTGGGCTGGTGCTCAGCAGGGGATTTCCTACCTCCGGTTGGCCGCCCGTGCCCTGGAGAGGAGCTGAAGCTGCTTTACCTGTCTTGCCCTGGTCCAGAGGTGGCAAAGCGGCTTCTTTCTTTGCCGTCTCCCGACCACAGAGGCTTCCCGAGGACTTGCGGCGTATTGCGGGCGGTGGTTTGGGCACAAACTCCATTTGAAAGCTGCACGAGAGGAGAAGGCAGCGAGCGGTGTGACGCAGCCAGCACTGCTTGCTGCTCTCTGGCCGTCTGCTGCCAGGCACGTCTTCGTGCCGCATGAAGCACGCTCCTGGGCAAAGGCTGGAGCAGGGGCAGTCGGTTCGGGTGGAAGGGAAACCGGTTTCCAAGGGCAGGAGATGGAGGTGGGATGTGAGGAAGAGGTTTGGGACAGGAGGGTGGCGAGGCACCGGAGCATCTTGCCCGGAGAGCTGGTGGTGCCTGGACGGGCATTGGAGGTGGGGCTGGAGCAGGCTCAGAGCGACCTCCTGTGGGGGTCGGTGTCCCTGTTCCCCGCAGGGCAGTGGGACGAGGTGCTCTTTCAGGGCTCCTTGCAGCTCCAATCCTGCTGTGGTTCTGTGACACACGGGCAGCACAGACACGGACACACGGAACAAGCGCTGCGCAACGAGAGCTGAGCAGCCGCGCCGCAGCCACCAACAGACTCACGTGGGAAAGACGACGAGGCAGCCGGAGAGCAGCAGGGAAGCCAGCGGTGCCCCGCGGGACACCACCATGTCCAGCAGCCAGGGGGCCTGGGGGGACAGAAGGGGAGGCTGTGCGAGTCTGTGGCTCTCAGCGTGTCTCTATGGGTCCCTATGGGTCTCTATGGGTCTCTATGTGTCTCTATGGGTCTCAGCGTGTTTCTATGGGTCCCAACATGTCTCTATGGGTCTGAACGTGTGTCTATGGGTCCCAAAGAGTCTCTATGGGTCCCAACGTGTCTCTATGGGTCCCAACGTGTCTCTATGGTCACAATGTGTCTCTATGGTCACAATGTGTCTCTGCGGCTGTCAATGTGTCTCTATGGGTCCCAACCTGTCTCTATGGTCACAATGTGTCTCTGCGGCTGTCAATGTGTCTCTATGGGTCCCAACCTGTCTCTATGGTCACAATGTGTCTCTATGGGTCCCAATGGGTCTCCATGGGTCCCAATGGGTCTCTATGGGTCCCAACGTGTCTCTATGGGTCTCAGCATGTCTCTATGGGTCCCAGTGTGTCTCAATGTGTCTCTATGGGTCCCAACGTGTCTATGTGGGTCTCAACGTGTCTCTATGTGTCCCAATGGTTCTCTATTGCTCTCATGATGTCTCTATGGGTCCCATTGTGTCTCAGTTTGTCTCTATGGTACTCAAGGTGTCTCTATGGGTCCCAACGTGTCTCTATGGTCACAATGTGTCTCTATGGTCACAATGTGTCTCTGTGGCTCTCAATGTGTCTCTATGGGTTCCAACTTGTCTCTATGGTCACAATGTGTCTCTATGGGTCCCAATGGGTCTCCATGGGTCCCAATGTGTCTCTATGGGTCCCAATGGGTCTCCATGGGTCCCAATGGGTCTCTATGGGTCCCAATGGGTCTCCATGGGTCCCAATGGGTCTCTATGGGTCCCAACGTGTCTCTATGGGTCTCAGCATGTCTCTATGGGTCCCAACGTGTCTCTGTGGGTCTCATGATGTCTCTATGGGTCCCATTGTCTCAGTTTGTCTCTATGGTACTCAAGGTGTCTCTATGGGTCTCAACGTGTCTCTATGGGTCCCAATGTGCCTCGATGAGTCCCAGTGGGCCTCAATGTATCTCTATGGGGCTCAATGTGTCTCTATGTGTCCCAATCTGTCTCTAAGGTCCCAATGTGTCTTTCTGGGTCTCAACATGTCTCTATGGATCTCAAAGTGTCTCTATGGGTCCCAATGTGTCTCAGTTTGTCTCTATGGCACTCAAGGTGTCTCTATGGGTCCCAACGTGTCTCTATGGGTCTCAACGTGTCTCCACGTGTCTCTATGGGCCCGAGCAGCCGGCCGCGTTCTGATGTGTGCTTGGGCACGGCGAGGCTCACGGCAGTGCCAGGGCCACAGAGGAACCTACAGCTCACCTTGGAAGCAGCTCTTCTGAATGTCTCTTTTCCGGACAGCTGCTCGAGGAAGTCGAAGTAGTATTTCATGTGGAAGGTCAAGCCGTCAACCAGGAGCACGCCGATGTCTTTCAGGACCACGGCGACCTTCTCCCCGTTCTGCAGGCAGCCGGAGAGCAGGGACACGGTGCTCTGGATGCCGGTCCTGAGGGTCTTCCAGCTCAGAGAGGTGCCTGCGGCCGCCTTGCTGTATCTCAGAGGGTCCACCTTCCTGTGCCCTGCAAAATGCGAGAGACGGAGGTGACGATAGGGTTGATTTTCCAGCCGTGCTTCCCTAGAAGGGCTTGCGGTGGACGTCAGCCTGAGCGGCCCCAGGTTTGGACAGGGGAAGGTTTGCTGTTGAGAATGGAGCGGTGGCCCCGTTTGCCCTGCCCGTGATGGCAGCAGGAGTGGAATCCCCCCTCCTACCTGACAGGGAGTCCCTGCGGGCCTTGAGGTGGTGGGCGACCATCAGGTTTGTAGCCAGGGTGAACACGGGCCACTGCAGGGTCACTGTGCCGGTCTCAGTCCAGATGTCTTTGGAGACGGTGTCAAAGGTGCCAAAGGTGGGGATCCAGACCCCCTGCGAGTGGAAGAGAAAGGAAGGGCGCAAGGGTTACGGGACGGCCGGAGGAAGAGCCGGCGGGGCTCCGACGTGGGGACGCAGCTCGGGAGCCTCTGCCGCCGTTCAGAGGCACGAGCCAGGCATCAGGAATGGCTTTGGGAAGGGGCTGCACGGTCCTCTCCTTGCCCTCGCCCTCCCGGATGCAGCCCAGCAGGCTGCAGGGCAGAAGGAGCCCCATGGCATCCAGAGGCTCCCAGAGACCGGGATCAGCCCTGAGATCCGACAGGGCCCAGCACAAGCGACCGCGCATTTGCAGGAAGGCCGTGGGATGCCCAGGAGAGAAACGTGGGGGCAGCTTCCTGCTTTGTGCACAGGGGAAGAGGCTGAGGGAGTCCAGGCCGAGCTGGACGGCGAGAGGAGGAACCCGACGGCCAACACACCTTGTGCACCAGCAGCTGCTCCCGGATGTAGGCGGCCACCGCATCCCAGACGGCGACTCGCTCTGGAGGGCAAAGGAAAAGCAGGTTACAATCTGCATCAGCTCACACTGCATCAGCTCACACTGCATCAGCTCTCACTGCATCAGCTCACACTGCATCAGCTCACACTGCATCAGCTCTCACTCCATCAGCTCTCACTGCATCAGCTCACTCTGCATCAGCTCTCACTGCATCAGCTCTCACTGCATCAGCTCACTCTGCATCAGCTCTCACTGCATCAGCTCTCACTGCATCAGCTCACTCTGCATCAGCTCTCACTGCATCAGCTCTCACTGCATCAGCTCACACTGCATCAGCTCTCACTGCATCAGCTCACACTGCATCAGCTCACACTCCATCAGCTCTCACTGCATCAGCTCACACTGCATCAGCTCACACTGCATCAGCTCACACTGCATCAGCTCACTCTGCATCAGCTCTCACTGCATCAGCTCACACTGCATCAGCTCTCACTGCATCAGCTCACACTGCATCAGCTCACTCTGCATCAGCTCACACTGCATCAGCTCACTCTGCATCAGCTCATGCTTTGCATCTGTCGCTTCCCAGCACTGCTATGGCCGCCAGGCGACAGCAAGGCGGCGGATGCAAAGCATCTCCTCCGTGCCAGGGGTGGCTGCAGCAGCGCTCCTGTGCCGGCCGTGGACCCACTTGGTGTCCATTACCTTTGGTCTCGGTGTCTATGAGCCTGGAGGTGCGTCCCGCTGCGGGGCCGACCTCGCTCCTCCTGCTCCGCGTCGCGCCGGCGGCTCGCTCCATGTTGGCGCCAGCCATGCCGAAGCTCATCCTTCAGATGCGTCTGCTCTCTACCAGATGCTCCTTCAGGATGTGGGACCCACCGCCGCGTTCCGCCTTTTATACCCCTCCCGGGTGCCCGTGTCACAAACGGCGCCGCGGCGACACCATGATGACACGGCCGCTGCCATTGTGACCGCGCTGCTGCCCTGCCTGGGGGCGCTGGGCCCTGTTTCCTCCCCTTTCCTTGGCTCTCAATGCCATATTGTGCTGCCCCTGTTTCCTTTCCTTGGCTCTCAATGCCATATTGTGCTGCCCCTGTTTCCTTTCCTTGGCTCTCAATGCCCTATCACTCGTTTTCCTTTAGCAGCTGCTGCCTGTGCTGATCTTCACGCAGGCCATACGCAAACAAGCGCTGTTGCACAGTGCTCTGCCCGTACCCTTGATGACCCGCTGTCAGGAAGTCGCTCAGTTCTGCCCGCATTCCTTGTCACCACGCTCAATAAATGACCCGGCATCCATCCTCTGTGTCCGTGCTGTGACTCCATGGCTCCCGCCACCCTTTGCTTTGCTTGGGGCTCCCAGAGATTCGCTTTCCTGCCGGCCTTCCGAGCGGGATGAGCCGTTTCACACGGACGCTGCAGGCAGGCGCAGCTGAAGGAAGGCAAGGGGAACGCAGAGGGGACATGGGCTGAGCTGAGAAGCGGGACGATGGGTTGGGCGGCATCGGCTTTGGGAACAGAAGGTGGAAGCCAGGATGGGAGGGGGTGGAAGCTCACCAAGCCCAGCAGCCCTGCAGAGCCGGTTCCCAGCAGCAGGTTGCCAGCTCTCGCTTGTGTCTGTATGTGGACAGGCTGAGGGCTGGGCAGCGAGAAACACGAGGAGGTTCGACAACAGCCAGTGGACCTGAGCCAGGGCTGGATGGGTCTCTGTGGGTCCCAGGGGGTCTCTATGGGTCCCAGTGAATCTCTATGGGTCCCAGTGGGTCTCTATGGGTCCCAGTGGGTCTCTCTGGGTCCCAATGGGTCTCTATGGGTCTCAAAGTGTCTCTATGGGTCCCAATGGGTCTCTATGGGTCTCAGTCTGTCTCTATGGGTCCCAATGGGTCCCATTATGTCTCTATGGGTCCCAACGTGTCTCTATGGCTCCCAAAGGACCCCAATGTGTCTCTGTGGGTCCCCACATGACTCTATGGGTCCCAATGGGTCTCAACGTGTCTCTGGGTCCCAAAGTGTCCCGATGGGTCCCAATGAGTCTCAGTGTGTCTCTATGGCACTCAAGGTGTCTCTATGGCACTCAAGGTGTATCTATGGGTCCCAATGGGTCTCAATGTTTCTCTATGAGTCCCAATGTGTCTCTATGGCTCTCAACGTGTCTCCAAGGGCCCATCAGCAAGCTCATGCGCCACTCAAGGCCTGCCCCCCTTTTGGCCTTGATGTGAGGCTTGCTGATGGGATCCCCCCCTTTTGTTCTTGGCCTGAGGCTTTTTGCTAAAGGGCTGCCCCCCTTTTGGCCTTGATGCG